ATTGTTTACTGCTTGATTGTCTGTCTGAGTTGGTAGTTCCTTGATTAGGGTATTGTTTACTGCTTGATTGTTTGTCTGGTGTTCATCCTGGTGTTCATCCCTGCTTATCTGGGTGTTGATCATTGTCCAGGCGGTGTTCTGGTCTTTTTGTTTCCTTTTTATTGTCTCTTTTGAATGGTGTGTAAATGGAGTTTATCTCTATGTGTCTGTTGATGGTTGACTTGCCTGAATACCAAGTTTCCAGGAATTCCCTCATGTTTTTGAATTTAGTTTGGTCTAAGATGCTGACAGTTTCCCAGTTGAAAGTATGGTTGAGTTTGTCCATGTATTGTGAGATTAAGGAGTTTTCATCATGTCTTCTGACTGCTAGTTGGTGTTCATAAATGCGCTCTGCTAGTCTTCTGCCTGTCTGTCCTACATACTGTCTGTCCTACATACTGTCTACATAGTGTCTGTCCTATATAGTGTCTGTCCTACATCCACTAATCAAGCAGTAAACAACAACCTAATCTAGGAAGTACCAAGAAAAAAGAAAGAAAAAACCCATCCCCTCTGCATTGACAGGGCAAGCTGCTGTAAATAAACAGAGAGCAAACCCCACTCCCTTCTAGCGCTGAAGATGTTACCAAGCCGGGTAATGAAATGTCTGCAAGAAAACAACCAAGCTCAGAGAACCCCAAGGACTCTACAGTTCAACCCTGAGCTACATATATTCTCTTCTATTGGTAAAATGAGGGTAATAGCAGGGCAACAAAGCTTAACCTGAGAATGAAGATGTTCTGTGTATGCCCAAACATTCTTACTTTCATTGAGAAAGACTTTTCAAATGGAAGCTAGAGGTACAAGTGATACATTTATCTTTTTGCAATATGATTGATTGAATTGTGGCTTAAGCAATGCTGTAAATCTATCAGCACCAGCCTAATACAAGTAATTATTTAGCTCTATGCTTAAAGAAAACAGGATATTCAAATTCCACATAGAAAATCTGAACAACAGTTTCCATAATATGTAGAACAGAAATGAGAGAAACATCCTATTCCTCCCTCTTAACTTAATCATAATAGTTACCCTGAACCAATGCCTTCTATTCCATAGCTGTGTTCTGGGAAAAGAGATAAATAAGCATGCTTTGTTTACATTGAAAAAACAAAACAAAACACTTATCTGGCTATCTTACAGGATTTAAGAGCACCAAAAAGAATTCTCTTTTTTTCCCCATAGAAAAAGATGAGAAGTGATCTTTCTGCAAAAGAGAGGAACTGCTTTTTAGTTTGTTAGTTTGCTTTTGTTTTCCTGAGAAGGAGAAGGCAAAAAGTAATAATTCCCTATACCTCACTGAACAGAAAAAGTTCATCCAAAAGGCAGGGACAGGGAGCAGAGGAATCTGAAGAAGTTTCTCCTGGCCAAAGTCTTGCACCTTGATCTTCTGGCCCGCAGGGATGGAAATGGGAGATCTCTGATTCGGATGTGGGTCCCACCTCTGCCACTAAACATGAAATGCTTCTGTTACTAGTATTCAGTATATAAATAGCATATCAATATATTATTTCTCTTTTTTTTTTACTGTACATTAAAATATTTGAATTGCTCAGTTTATAAAGAGAGGAAACATACCGCCTACATTCTGTTTGATGGGGTCTTTTGTAGGATCCAGAAATGCAGTGTCTGCTACCCAGCACTGAGAATTGCACAAAGCCACTGGATCTTAATGGAGTATGTGAACAATTTGAAAATGGAAATGCTGCTATAAGTTTCACTGGCGCTTTGCAAATACCTGTGAGTATATCAGCTTATTTAGTAATAATAGCGGCGGACAAAATTACTGGAAGTATGCAAATCAGCCAAGTTCTAATTTGAATTTGGGGACTAACTTGAATTTGGGGACTATGGGGACAAAATTGTTGGAAGTATGCCAATCAGCTAAGTTCTAACTTGGATTTACAGTTAGATTTGAATCAGTTTGGTTCCAGGATTCAGTTCTACTGTATAGAAGTATGTGCGCACATGTGCAAAAGGCCACTGAATCTTTGAATCTAAAAGCACCCGATTTGATTCAACACATTGAGTGAACTTGACAATTTAACTTGATTATTCATTTTAAAGGAGAGGATTTAATCAAATTGAAACATGAATCAATCCTATTGATCCCTAGAAAACCAATAGGTGGTGCTTGTTAATGCATGGGTTTTGAATTACTGTTAGTGTATATTACTCCAGAGAAGGAAACCCTCTAGAGCAGTATTTCTCAGCCTTGGCAACTTTAAGATATGCGGACTTCAACTCCCACAATTCCTCAGCCAGCATGCTGCCAAAGTTGAGAAACACTGCTCTAGATAGTGTAACACTCAATGAGCAAAAGGAGCTGTGCACTTAACAGAGAGAAGAGATTAGAAAGCATTGCACTGTGCAAGAAGATTCCCCCACTCCAAGTTCAAGATATTCCAAGATTACAGTCACTCTTAAATGACAGGAAGAGAAATAGTTTTATTGGATGTTACCTTACCCATTGATCTGCAAAAGAGGACCTGACATTCAGTTGCAATGGGGGCTGTTCCCAGGCAAGGCTCATTTGCTATGGAACCTTTGGATGGGTCTCTCATCCCATATACTGAAGTAGAATGTTATTGGTTAATCATACATGTGACTGTATGCGACTGCAGACCATGCTGCTTGCTTAGTATCACTGTTGATAAGACATCGCTACCCCTCTAACACAGGCTCTTTATGCATGATCCTACAATATGAGTAGCTGTCTCTGGATAATACTGGATAATTCTATGTTGTACAGGAATCCTTAACTTGCAAAAAATTAGCCTAAAGCAAAATGCTTATTGTCTTTTACTTTTCAAATTAATTTTACTTTTTATTCTTCGTAGGGAGTGGTAGAATTCTCTCTCTGTCTGTTATTTGCCAAATTAGTCAGCTACACTTTTATTTTCTGGCTTCCACTGTACATCACCAATGTAGGTAAGTGTCTATGCTGGATTAAAGTATTACGTAAGGCTGGTCATATAAAATGTTACCAGAAGTCATATTTGAGAGAGAGTTCAATATTGCTAAACTTTTTCTGAATATGCTATTAAAAAACACAGTCACAAGTTTACTCAAATGAGCACTTTGGGAGTGGTGGTATAAAAATATAGTAAATAAATAAAGCATAATAACATAAAAAATTATCTGAGTTTGATTGATAAATAGATATGACTAAGTTATTTTTGCTAAGTTAAACAAAAGCTTGATTATATCCAATTTAATTATATAATCACTTTTTCACCCAGAATATTTTGGGATCAAAATTCCTTCCTAACATTTCCTTATGCGGTGCTTACTACAGCAGCAACACATTGAGCCCCCTTTTTTCATTAGTAGATGTAGGACACTGCAGGGGTCTAACACTGACAAAGTAAAATATTTTGTGGGCATAGCAGCTATATATCTATTTCAAGGAAGAAAGGAAAAGAAGATAAGCCAGGTAAAAGCATGGAGGAAAGGATGAGAAGAGGGATATCTGCTCCAATTTAGATTACAATCTGAGTCAGAAAAGAAATATGAAAGACAACTGCCTATCATGGTTAATGTTCTGTCAGCCCTCCCAAGTAAAACAGACCGGAAACACAACCAGATGAGCTAATTCTACTTTACTGTAAGGCTACATTAACAGAATCTTGCAAGTCTGAAAGTACAAATCTCCCGCTGTCCCTTCTTACCACCTGATCAGTTAGGGCAGGTCCTTTCTAAGTTTCTTTCTCTCCCTGTTGGGAGAACTGGGGTTCCTCCCCCTTTTATCTGATCATTCCCTAGGTAGCATCTCTTCCCACCACCACCCCAGTCTTCCAAGGTCATTCTCACATTCCATTACATGTTCCAAACTAGAGAATTACAGTCTTTGAGGAAATCAGTAGTTCTAGCTACCACATTTGATAGGAAAATGAATAGTGCAGTTGTAAACATGGGAAAATACCCGATGCCACAGAACATAGTGGTGAAAGAGGAAGTGAGGAAAACTTTTTGTTAATTATTTGCTCAGCATCATTAGTTTGCTGTACAGAATATAATACCTATAAACTTACAAGAGATTTGTGAGTATGGAATTTAGCTTCTTGGCCTGAAAAAAAATATCTTGTAGAAAATACTTTCTGCAGTCTAATTCTTTAAAAAAAAAAAAAAAAACTTCACTAAATGAAATCATTATTGACAGTCTCTGACTTTCTCCAGACAGCCTTAAAATATGTGATGCAGATATTAATTGCTGCGATTCTATGCAGCCTCCAACTGATACCATCTTTCTATAATAGCAACCCATATTTTACTCCTTTCACCTTTGAACAGAGATAATCTATTTAAGTATAACAACTCAAAATAGAAGTACCATTTGCTAAAAATGTGTATGTTCTATAACAATTTCATCAGCTCAATATCTGCTCATAAGTATTGCTGATTGGTGTAAGGAAGAATAGGGAGATACAAGAAACTGAGGTATGTGTGACAAAAATTAGGATATATAAGCATTCTGACACAATCAGGATGAAGATGTAGCTCATTTTCCAGTAATGGAACATATACTGTAAGCAATTGCACGTATGAACACTGTAGTAGCGACAGCAAGAAAAAGCTAGAAAAGTCGTATTTTGCAAAAATGGCCTGCATCTGGATTCTTTTGAGAGTTAATATTATTCTGTATTATGATCAATTGCTTAAATATAAATTTATTCACACAGTATCTACTTGAAACTACTCCTAAGCCCCTGAAATAAGTAAAATAAGATTAAAAAATAAAAGATATACAGTAAGAACAGAATCTTGAAAATGTGCTTGAGTTTCCTTTTCCCCCTGTTATACCAAATAGAATCAAGGCAAAGTAATACTGAGTTTCTTTCTCAGTCCTCTTTCTCAGGGCTGAACTGGTATTTACATAACTGCTCTTGCATTTCTTCTTCAAGGTTATCTCTGTATTCTTCTACATTATTACCAATAGAACAGTAAAATAAATTCATGTTGTAGCTGAGTGTCAGCTATGGCTGTACTATTATGAGAATTTAGAGTTTCTATATTGTTAATTAGCTCTAAGCTAGAGCAGTAGCTGTGTTCTTGCAGCAGTGCCAGTGAGGGTAATATCTGGGGACTTCAAAGATTATTGCATATTGCAGCATGAACTTTGTATTAGACTGTTTTCTCTATACCAGTATGCTTATATAGCTGTTTATTAAACTGAGAATACTTTCTCAACCAATGATGTACAGCTCATACTATGATAGTTCATGCCACGGAAATATTTAGCTTTTGTTGAATCCTACTTTACAAGATGTTATCCATGTCTTGCCCCATTCCAACCCCTCAGATTATGGATCTCTCACAACATTTTTGAATGGATGCAAGGAAAAAGATGTATCAGATGCTCACATAACACCTGTTGGCTATTCTTTAAATCAAAAGCACTGTTTCTCAGGATCTTATTGTAGGTGTGGAGGGCAGCCATGTAATCTCAGAAAATGACACGAGTGTTTTAAGGGGTTGCTGACAGCTTCCATGTGAATATTCTTGTGTGCTATGAAGTGCCTTTTTCTAAGAATGTGCTGATGGATTAATAAGGAGATCTTCAGTCACAGGTGGTTGGGAGTGAGGGTGGGGAAATGACAAGAAAAGTCTATAATTGGTAGTCCAGAAAAGCAAACACATCCTGTTTCTTTCACTTTCTCTTTCCTGTTGCCTGTCTGGAATCAAGTTAGCTGAGAGAGTCAAGAGTGATTCATACTAGCAGGTAACAATGTATGAGCCTGCTCTCTCCCCATGGCATCCTTTAGATGGCTCTGAGCTGCAGCCCATGTGAGGCTGCCTTACTTCCTTTGCCACACGGATGCAACCAGGAAGCTGTGAGCATCTCCTTCCTCAATGTTCCTGTCTACATTGTCTCACTACCCTCTGTACATCAACTTTAGGTTTTATCAAACTAACAACTTTTTATCAACTAGCTCTGATAATTCCCCAAATTTAACAAGAGGCTTCCAGAACACCCTGCCTTTTCCATTTGAATTCAAAGTACTGCACAACTGTGATATATTTTGCCTTTCCTCCCTTATGGTGCATAGAGCAACATTTTTGTCTTCCCAGGCAGTCTTGAATCTATAGGAACTCAATATAAGCTAGCTCCAGCAAGGTTATTTTACTTTTTATCAGTAAACCATGATCATGCAACAGTTGCAAATTTAAGAATGAGATCTTTGATGCAATTCTGTATGCTAGAAAAGAGGGGTGGTAAACTTACTGAAAATGTTGTCAAGTCTTATAACCGTATGTCATTACAGGTTAATAACTTATTATAATTTACTTGCATTATGTAAAAATTACAGAGAAGCTACTTCCTGGAGGGAGAAACTTCATTTGTTTTTTTAACATAACATTTGTAACATAATAAAACATATAATCCATTATTTGTACTTCATATTGAAATCTATTAGAACAATCCTTTATTAAGAGAAACAAGAAATACATAAAAATCACAAAATAAAATCTATCACAGAGGGTTTTTTCTTTCATAAAGCTTAATATCAGATATATGAGATGATATACGAGATTCCTGTATTTTAATACTGGATATGTGATACAAGACAGGGGATGCAGAAAAGTTCAGTATGATTCCAAATGATCCAATAATTTGTTTCTCCTTATTATAGTTGGAAAAAGTAATTTAGACATACGTACTTGCTCAAAAGTGGTCTTGGGAAATATTATGGCATCTAAAAATATTGAAATTGTTGCTGATATATTTTTATTTTTCATTGGTAGAACATCTTGATACCAAAACGGCAGGTGATCTTTCTACCCTGTTTGATGTTGGAGGAATTTTTGGTGAGTGTACAACTATGATCTGTATATTTTGAAATGTATACATATGTGAGTCTTTGAATTTATATATCAAATTGGGAAACATTTAGAGATAGGAAATACTTTAAAACTGAGAGTGGGTGCTGATAATTAAAGCTCAGTTGGTGACTTGAGAAAACAATATTAAAGAGAGGGTGTCTTTAATAGCAGATGGAGTTTTGGGTGAAAGAGTGGTGGTTTTTATATTTAATAACAGCTTGTATGGGGGCACAAAAGTATGAGTCAGTGGGATATATTCTTAGAAGTTGGATGGAAATTGCGGAATTCAGGACTGATATAGAAAAATAGTTTGGGGAAAGTCTATGAATGGAATCAGGAACAGTATCATCTTTCTCCTGTTCAGTAAGAAATTGGCAAAAATGTGCTAGCATACTATATCAAATAGATAAGAAAAATATGGGAGCAAACTGGCATAAATGGGGTAGCTGAAGTCATGGAACAAATACTGTTGCTAACAGAGTAGAAATCAAACATTCATTGGGTTCAGCAATGTGCTTTATACATAAATCACAAAGATGTTTTTGAGAAACTCTCATCATTTTGAAATCAGCTCTGCTCCTTTGTGATTCACCAAGTGTGTGTGAGAGCTGAGCTTATTTATTTCTGGCTCAGCTATGCTGCATCTCAAACCCTAATAAAATTAGTCTTTGAAATACTGCCACTCTGTCTAGTTCATCATTTTCAGGAACTCTAACCCTATCCTGACCCTAGTAAGATTTTCACAGGGAAAGATGGCATAAGAGCTTTTCATTTCATCCTCATAAGAACTGCTCAGATTTCTTTTTGCATATTTGCAAATAATGCATACAACATAAACAAAGGATATGAATTAGGGTAGGAGGTACAAGTGAGTGATTTCCATTTTGTGAGGGGTGGGGTGAAGGATTTTTCATTTTTCCACATCTACAGCAGCTTGGTGTGAAGCAGTGCTCAGTACTGCTAAGTGGCAGGAGAATGGATGAAATTGGTTGACTGGGGTGGAACTGGAAGAAGATGATAAAGCAGACAAGTATTCAATTTTGTCAGTTGAAGAGTAAAGACAGGAGAAGATTTATCATAGTGCAGAATTAATGGTAATAGTAACTAGCTTTGTGGTTGATATATATGAAGGGCACTTCTAAAAAAATCAAGGACAATATTACTTTTATAGTGTTATTTGGTGCAGTTATGCAAAGAACTTTGTTACATTTTGCACCTCTCTTTTTTATATAGGTGGAATTTTAGCAGGTGTAATATCAGATCGACTCAAAAAAAGGGCTACAACTTGTGGCATGATGCTGTTGATAGCTGGACCCACTGTAAGTTTTGTGATGATGATGACGAAAGTGTTGATGGCTTTTTGAGTTATACAGACAAAAGCAGGTTTAATGAAATAGGGTTGCATTTTTGTGCCCTAATGTTGTGGGTATTTAAGCATTTTTATTTCTCTAAAACAAACTAAAGTTGCTTCCACAATTTTGGATAACAACAAATGAAAGTAGAATTCTAGAATGAAAAATAATGCTAATTTTGTAATTGAAATCTAGCAAAGACAGCTTGTCTTATTACAGAATAATCTGAGCTAACTGCGTGCTACTTGTGTCTATCCTAGCTGTATTTATTTTCTGCAATCAGTAAAATGGGTTTTGAGGCCACAATAGGTAAGTTTTATTACCTCCCCCCTTCCCCCCTTTATTTGGGATGTTTAAATATAAATCCACTGCAACTCTGCTTTTTAACTCAGGAATTTTTACAGTTAAAACTAACAGTCTGGGTTACACTGAGATAATTTCTCTTAAGACCAAATAAATTATTATGAACGAAAGATTCACAAAAGAAATAATTTTTAAGTGAGGTGTCTCAATGAAAACATCCTCAACATGGTGCTCTTCAGATGTTTTCTGGATTACAACTGGAAAGCATAAGATTAGGGAAGGCTGTCATACTGTAGGTGACAGGCAATTTTCTCTAGACAAAGAGAAGAAAGATATGGCATTCTTAAAATCATAGATTGGACAGGGCCATCAGGTAGGATGGAAACCAGGTAAAGCATCTCAGACAAATGGCTAACTAGGCTTGGCTTGAACACATTCAGTGAAGAGGAGCCTACCAAAACTCTGAAAACAAGCAGTTAACAAATTTTGTAGTCCAACCCAGCTGAAACCATCTGCAGATCACTGTCATTTCTTGCTGTCTTCTCTTCCACTCTACCCCCACCCCCACCCCCACCCCCACCTCCTACCCCCACCCCACCCCACACACACAACACACAACTTACTATCTGAGGGCACTGGAACAGAAGCTCAGATCACATAGTTGGTAAAAAGTCAAGGAAGTAGCTTTCTTCTTCACTAAAATGTTTCCCATTTCCTTAGCCTGGAAATAAGGAAAACCAATGCTGATTCTTTCTAGTTACAGTCACTGCTTTGGTGGATAGGAGTATATAAGTAAACCATTGTAATGTTTACATTTATCAGTTGCTTAATTGCCCATAGCAATAAGTATTAACTACTGATTATTAAGACAGTTAGGTCTAGCAGCTAAGGTGCTGGGCTAGAAACCAGAAGACTGAGTTCTAGGCCTGCCTTAGGTGTGAAGCCTGCTGGGTGACTGGGTCAGTCACTCTCTCTTAGCCTGACCAACTTTGCAGAGTTGTTGTGGGGAAAATAGGAGGTAGGAGCATTAAGTATGTGCACCACCTCAAATTGACTAAAAACAAAGGCAGGATAAAAATCAAATAAATAAGCAAATAAACAAGTAAACTGGAAATGCGGGTAACTTTGTATTGTAGTATAAATAGCTGTGCTGGTTAATGACGTCAATAAAGTTTTTCATTTCATTACTATAAATAGCATAAGCCCCACTGAACATAAGATAACTTCCTTTAGAAAGAAGACTTTAAAGGATTGCACTACATGTCTCCTTTATGTGTTTAGAGACCTGTTAGCACTGCTATGGTTCTAAGCAAGCAAAGTAATTGGGCCTTATGGTAAAAGCGGATAGCTTACCAAGTTCCAAATAACTTAGAACTTGAATTCAGCAGAGGCAGTAGGTATAGAGGAGAACATGAAACAAATCCTTGTTCTCATAAGCTCATAGTTCACTCCTCAACTTCTGCCACTTCTGCTGATTCACTTTGAATGTCAAGACCCCTTAATCCTTATTTGCAAAGCTGCAGTGGGTTAAATGTCTGTTCAAGTTAGTTAAAATCACCAATAGGTAAAATCAGATAATGCTGCCAGTCTTCTCTTATGTATGTCCTTGTGCCTATTCCTTTCAATAACAAACTAGTGTATGATCTTTCCAATGTTTTATTTTGGAAAACAGTTTTCGAGTGTTTTAACAGATACAGTTAAATAACAGGTCCTGCATCTGCTGACTGTTGATGGCATTAAATACATACTAATTTTAATGTTTAATTTTAAGTTATGCTGCTCATCTGTGGAGCTCTTGTAAATGGTCCATATGCATTGATCACAACGGCTGTCTCTGCTGATTTGGTGAGTGCTTGTCTGTTCTATATGCATCAAATTAGTTCCCACAGTATTTTCATTGTATTACTTTTAATAAGTACATATAAATATTCAGAGCACAAATTCCAGAGGAGGAGGAAAATAGATTGTGTTTTAGTGATATTCAGTGGCAATATTGTAATTATATATTTTTCTTTGTGCTTTCAAGTAATATGAGAAAGATGTACAGTATACTGTAAATAAGAGGAAGATTATCACTCTCTCTATTCTCTGTATTAAATTACTTCTCCCTAAATATTTTGTTCTTAAAGGGTACCCATAAAAGCCTTCATGGAAATGCAAAAGCACTCTCAACTGTTACAGCCATCATCGATGGAACAGGCTCCATAGGTATGATATCATCCCCAAACACAAAAGACTGAAAGGTTCGATAGGAACCCAGTCTGGTCCTCTCCAGATTTTGAGAATGTTCAACCAGCATTAATTAAAGAAGGTTGCAGTAGGGATGTGCTCTGTATCTACATGTATCAGTTAAAAAGTAGAAGCTCATAAATCCTCATACTGTTTCAATGGATAATAAAGGAAAATGAAGAGATGAAGATCACTGCAGACAACATTGTGTATAGCCCACCTTTGTATGGAGATGGATGCTATCTGTATATTTCTGCTGCTTTGTAACTAGCTTCGTATATATTTATTTCATAGTCTTTGAAGAACCCTTGTAGCACTTGTCTTTGCCAAGTGTCCCCCTGTGTAATGATGCCTATAGCCTGTGGAGGCCAGACTACAGTTGGGATAAGAAGTGGTTATAAGATAAGGCAAAAGCTCTCTTGAGTTATGCTCAATGCCTAGTAGCTGCATGAAGATAGCCCTTTTGGCTTTATTGGCAGCTGTATGGAAATGGCTTGACTTCTGGGATGTTTTTTGACTTCCCAATCTAGTTTACGGCCCTGGGGTTTCCTGGTAGTCTTTCATTAAGTACTAACTATGGCTCACTGTTTCACTTCAGCCAAGATTAGCTAGGTGCTGCTATTTGCTGCCACCTGCAGTGACTACGAAGACTTTCAAACAGCAACAGGGACTACTCACTGGTATACTAGTTCCTAGTCTCCTCATTCTCCCACTGTTTGTCTTTTTTTCACTGTTCCACTGATGAGCTGGTGCTGCTTTTTGTGGATAAGCGGGACCCTTACCTCACTGCTACTTTGTGCAGTACAGTATAGATTTTGGCACTCAGAGAATTATGAATCTACTGGAGAATCTTTGCCTGGCTCCTTATCCTGGAATCCACATAGGGAGGAGCTAGTAAGAAATGGCAGTAAGAAACTTAGCCCCTTCAGAACATGTCATTCAGAAGACCTTGAAAGCATCTCTCATCTTTCCTAAGATTAAATCTACCTTTTGGGAAGCTGTTTGTTTCAAAGTGTTCAAGTTGGTTTTTAGGGAACTTGCACAACTAGATAGGTGTACAATTACTAAAAGAATTGTTGTGAATCCATAATTCCCATTGTAGACTTTAGGAATGGTGATGCGGGTTCTCAGAAATATGTTTTGATGAGGCTATGAGTAAATAAATAGTTGTGGGGCCACAGCAGATGGTGTTCTCCAACTGAAATGGCTTTACCACAGGCATTTGAATAAGGCTTTTGAATCTGAAAAAGCAAAGGGTTGGAGTGTGTGTGGACACTGGAAGATAATGAGAATGGGCTAGGATGGTATGAAAATGCCAGGTGTTCTTCTAGGGTTTGGGTGGTTAGCAGGCTTATGTATAATATGGAAATTGTAGAGAGGAGAGAGCAGTCTCTCAATTGTGCACTTGATACTTATTCATTGGAATTTTCCATCAGTTTAGCTGTGGCATCCAGGAGAGGGTGGCCTTAAAAATTTAAATTATAAGTAAATAAAGAATTGTATGCCTGTATATATGAATTACTCTTGAAGAGATGCAGAACTATATTTTACTAGCATAGTATCAGTGTCAGAATTTTATCAGGACTAATATTTATGGTTTCATAATGCAGTGGTGGTAAGAGCCAGTTTGGTGTAGTGATTAAAGGCAGTGGGCTAGAAACCAGGGGACTGTGTGTTCTAGTTCCACTTTAGACACAAAGCCAGCTGGGTGACTTTGGGCAGTCACGTTCTCCCAACCCAAGGAAGAAGGTAGTGACAAACCACTTCCAAAAACTGTTGCCAAGATAATTTTATGGACTTGTCAGTTTAGTTGCCAGGAATCAAGACTGACTTGTAGGTGCACAAATACAACACACACACACACACACACACACACATGCACACACAGAGCAGTAGTGGGATCCTTCTGCAAATATGTTAGTTACATTGACATTTCAGTAAAATGTTGGCAAGTTTGGCAAGACCCAAAATTGTGAATCTTGCAAATGACACTCCTCCAGCACTCCCATGACACCGAATACAACCCAGTGAAGTGGATGTCGCAAGAAGACCAGCTTGCCATCAGCCCTGTGATTCTGCTTGGGGTTTACACATGAGAATAGGAGAGGATGATGGGAAGGAAAATGGGCTGGATTTGCTGTCATTCAGAACAGCTTGCAAATCCATCCAGTTGTGAGTTTTCAAGCTCATTCTGAAGCAGCAGATGCCCCAATTCTTGCATGGTATTGCTTTAATGTGCGCGCGTGGTATTTTAGGTGCAGCACTGGGACCGTTGTTAGCGGGTCTTCTCTCTTCATCTGGTTGGAACAATGTCTTCTACATGCTGATAATAGCAGATGCCTGTGCCTTACTGGTAAGTCTTACTATAATGTAGTTCTGCTTATTTGTTGAAATGTGGAATAATCAATTGTTAATGCCTCTGTAAAAGCATAAAATTCCACAGTGTGGGCAGTTTATTCCAAAGCACATTTGGAAACGTGCTGGGGTAATTGTATTTCAGTTTCTATACAATATATCCTTGTTAAAATATTTTTTACTGGAGAGATAAGGTACATTTATTGAAATAAGCTTCACCATTAGATGTCATAACATTGTTTGTATGTTAGCTAGCAGTAACATTAATGAACAGATCATTAAAAGAAAGAATATTAAAAAATATGTTCCTCAAATAGCATCACAGAGATTATTATTGCAGTACTAAAATACAAGAGCCAGTTTGGTGTAGTGGTTAAAGCATCAGGCTAGAAATCAGAAGACCATGAGTTCTAGTCTCACCTTAGGCATGAAGCCAGCTGGGTGACTGGGCCAGTCACTGTCTCTCAGCCCTAGGAAGGAGACAGTGGCAAACCACTTCTGAAAAACTTGCCAGGAAAACTGCAGGGACTAGTCCAGGCAGTCTCCAGGAGTCAAAAACTGACTCAAAGGCACACACACCACACAATGCAGTGATTTCATGCCCTGGATTATTAGAGTCAGACCCTAGTTTTATTCTTACTGGGTTTACTGAAATAATTCTGAAGTTTGTTCTGGTTTTCTCTGCTTTGATCAGAAGGAGATAAGCCTAAAAGTCATATATCAGTGTGTTATCAGGAATCACCTGTATGTTCAGTGCTGAAATTTAAATTAGGGATTTATAAAATCTTTGCCAATTAGGTTGTATGAGCCATGGGACCTTATACTAAAAAAAAAAAAAAAGGAAATCTGACATTAAAGCGTATTGTATAATACGTTACTTCCTTCCATTTCTTCACTGCTATTGCTTTACATTAAATCTTGTTAAGGTCCCAACATTTGTTTTCTGAATGCGCCCTCAATTTCTTTTGGTTTCTCACATGCTCCTCTCTTTAAAGATTGAAATAAAGAATTGGGGGCAAGAGTCTTAACATTCGGTAAATAACTATTTAGACGAAGAATTAATGTCAATAGTTCATTTCTTTGTTTATAGTTGCTCTTAACATTCTACAATTAATTATTTCTTAAACATTTTTACAGTTTTTACTCCGCCTTATACGAAAGGAACTTCGATGTAGTCTTGACCAAACCTTGTAAGTTCCTATATGGTAAAAAAGATTTGCTGGGCTGCTTAACATTAATTTTTGCTTGCGTATCTTTTCATAGAACAGTGTTATCACTTTTTCCCTTTTTGTTATTTGGAATTCTGCTTCTAAATCAGAGAAGAAGAGCTGACATCCTCTACATATCTTCAGCAGAGGCCCTACTGGGTGCACTGCTGAAAATTGTAGTTCAGCCACAAATTTCCCACCCTTTTCACAAAGAAATGTGTGAAAATGTTGTACTTTTTCTTCTTTTTTTAAGTACAGTCATTGCTACTGTTTTTCTGTAAATAAATTCATTTTTCCCTTTTATTTCACTTTACTTTTCTGTACTACCCTTATTAAGGTACTCATATTTGTTTTAAATTTCTGGGCTGTGATTTAAATATCTTTTCATTTCTATTGCTATTTTTAACTCTGTAACAGGTAGAATCATAGTTCTGTACTTTGTGTGCTCACAGGAGATCAGGTTCTTTAGTTAAAAAAAAAAGTAGCCCTACGGTATATGAGATGCAAAACTTCAGAGTGCCAGGAGATGATGGCATCTATCTGTCTATCTCTGTTGCCATCTAGTGGTCATCCAGACCTTTAAATCCCTGATAAGGTAGACCTAAAGTGCTATACCTCCCTCTTTATATAAATATATAGATATGAATTATAAGATTTCTTGTTTCTCACTTGCTGATATTTCCATTCTTTTGTAGGTTTAAAGAACACTAACTTTTAGACAAGAAATTTATTTAAAATAATTATTTTTAAAGAGATTGATCCAGAAATCCTACTTGATCCTTCTGAGAAGAAAGCTGCTATATAAGAGTCCACATTGCACATCTTTTTTGGATTGTTGATATTTCTGGAAATAATATTTGCATGCAAATCACATTCCTGAAAAGCTTGCACAGTTATGTTTAGGCAGCAGAATTTCGACTCTTCACACCTCCCTTCTTAGTTTTGCACATTAATATCAGGAATGTGAGAGTGTGAAATAATGGATCTCCAAGCTATTCTACATAGCAGAACTGAGCCAAAGAAAATTGTGCCTTTATCTTCATTTTGTCATAAGTAAATATTATACTACATGATTGCTTTTATGTTTTAAGATAATATATAGATTGAAGACAAAAAGCTAAGGAAACAAATTACCTTTGGATACTTTTTTGTAATGTGCTAAAATTAGCAAAATGGGGACTGAAATGTCTGTCATATCATGTCCGGTTTTGTTAAAAATGACTGTTGAATATGTGATACTTCCTGTTAAGAGTACTCAGATTTTTCTTATTGTCCAATATTACTAATGTTTCTCACTTTACAATTAAATGTTGAACATTGAATATTTTTACAGTTGATTAATAGATCAGAAAGAAGTATCTTGTATTAACAGAACCTTCAAGGCAAGGTTCAGAATGGTAAATATCTGTTAACCTACTCAGTTTCTGAAACTGATCAAAACAGAGATTGATTTGAAAATAAGATTCAGTAGTTATTCCAGCTGTTGCATTTATTCTGTCCCATGGCTATTTTTAAAATAATTTGGGGAAACATTGTAAAGTATATTCACAAACACAGAACCAAATTGCTAGTTGACATTGTTGACATCCAGATTTGATACATTTGGAAGATTCTTTTGGATGCTCCCTGGGATGGCCAGCTGGTATTTTCCTTCTCATTTTGTTTATGCAAAACAGGTCCCAGCATCAAACTGAATGGTAAAACTCATACCTTCATGACAGTTAGTGTATTCACAAGAATCCCTCTTATGTACTATGTCTCTGAAACCTTAGAACTGCACTGAATGCATTTGACTGATTTGATTCCTGTTTATGAATGCATTTTGGAAGAGTATACATCTATTAAATTACTTACTTACTGGTGTCCTTTAACTGTTGAATGCCATTTGATCTAGCTTGCAGTCCAACATACGTAATCTACTGGGTTTCTTCACAGTGGAGCTCTGTACAATACAGGAGAAGAGAACAAACAGCAGCAAGGTGGATGAACTCAATTAGAGCAGTGATGGGAGCATCATTGGAGGACATGAAGGGCCAGGTTGGGAACGAATCATCATGGAGAAAGTCTATCTATGTGGTTGCTAAGAGACAATACCTACTTGATGGCATATAATCAAAAGATCAGATTGAGAAAACCTGAAGACTAGAATGATAAAGTGCTAGGAAAAATAGACCTGAGATGGATCATATGATATTTACTTCCCTAACCACTGTGGCCTGAGTAAACGTGGCTCTCACGACCAAACTGAAATCTGAAGTGCATGGTACATCTGATTCCCTAGAAAGAAAACACATAGTCACAATCAGGCATGGAGCCACAAATTTATCTACATATGTCATACCCAACCATTCTACTATCATGGGGGGTGGGGTGGGGGTCAGGAAGTCAGGACTTTTTTCTCTCTCTCCATATATTCATTTATACTGGAAAGAAGGTATTTCCCATCTAACTGTCACAGGGGCTTCCTGTGGATTCTCAGGATTTGATCAAAACTCAGTACAAAATACCATTTCAGGTTTTTTTTTAAACATTATTAAGCAAATTGCATCTATCCATGTATTTTGATTTCACAGCCAAGCTTTGAAAGCATAATTTACAGCTATACCAGCCGAGGTGATCTCCACTCTCCTTCCTTTCCCCTGCTGTTCAACAGCTTAAAATTATGAGACCATACAAATGATTTTTCTTGTACTCCTGAATATCATATAGCATAAATGTTTTCTAGCTGGACATGTATACGCTCTATAATACTGGTTTCATATGTGGGCATTCCATTATTTCTATGCCCTACCTATTTCCTAATTTGAGGTTAAGGAAGTACCTATAGATACTGGTTGTAATTTTCCTCTGTGTCAGGCTGACAGCTGGCATTCTTCGGGCTAGTAACCTTTGATCTTCTGTCATCTTCACTAGAGCCATTTGTATTGGGTAGATGGATCTCATAGCACATCCACCTCTTTGTCTTCAGCAGTCTCTTCTGAGCTTGTCCTCCACTTGTGGACTTTGAACCACTCTCCAACTAACAAGCCTTCAGCAGTGTAAACATTGCCCAATCCAACTCATGTTTGCCAGCCCACATTGTTCTTTACTAAAACCACAAATCAAAAAACAGAACAATCTAGGCCCATCTTAATTGTCAGCCATTACACATATCCATCAAGTTTTGCCAAGTTCGTTTCCAGAGTTCTGCTCCCCAGAGTTCCTCTGTAATTTAAGACTCCACCTTTAATGTCAGTTCAGCATCTGTAATCTGTCCTCCTCTCTCCCATAGGAATGCTGCTTATGAGAAGGTAAACTGCTCTACTCCCAACTTCTCATCAGCAAAATTAGTACAAAAGATTTGTTTGGATTTCTGGGTGAATATATGAACAACCAACAGGAAGGCATGGCTGAAAAGAAAAAAATAATACACATAGGAAGTTCCTTGATGGAAGCTGACAGGCAGAATTATTACAAGAATTGCCCCTCCCTGCAAATATGGTAGTACCACTAGGAAACATGGAAGACAATTGCTCCTGCAGTAGTCATGATCACCACCAGATGGTGTTATTGATCAGACAGAGATCACATTTAAAAACTTTTCTAAGGAAAGAACTCAGAAAATTAGAGCTGATAAGCGGTGTCTTTTCAAGTTAGAATACTTTCATCCAAAAGACGGTGATCTTCATCTCCTTAGATGTTCTTAAATCAAGAGGATTCAAGTGCTTTTATTTTTTTAATAGAAAGATTAAACAAGTGTGTGAGAGATCCCCATCCCTGTATGCTTGTGTGTGTGTGTGTAGATGAAACTGGTTATAGTGTTTGAGTTGAATGGAAACAGCAGGAGCCAGGAAAAAGAACCAAAATATGAAGTGAGGCAAAACTGGAGAAGTGCTGAACACTGAAGCAGAGTAGACTAGCCAAAGAAATACTGGAGAAAGAAGTATAAAGAGAAAAGGAAATTGGGAAGAGAAAGATTGTGAGGAACAAGAGAAATCTAAGTTAGAGACAAGCATACCATTTAGGCAAAAGAAATTGATTTGTTTTATAAACAAATTGTTGTGTACTTGAGTCAGAAGGTGGTTCTATGCTTTGGCACATTTGAGTTTCCTGGAATCATATGCTCAAATAATCCATGTTCCTTCTTTCATCTTTCTGAAGTGGTGGGTATGTTTGCATTTCCATTCCTTTTGCTGTTTACTTGTTCCTGAAGCTTGTGGCCTTTGTACAAACTTGAGTAACCCAGTGAGCTTAAGCATTTAATTTGCTCTGCCAAATGGCCCAGTTGCCTTCAAACACTTCAAAGGCATAGCACTTTAAAGAGCAAAAATGCAATAAATCATCATCTAGAAGTGTGCAATAGCTTCTTAATGAATTTTCTAACTGACATAGAAAATGTGAAGGAAAATATATTGAAGATTGCAAAAAGAGCCAAAGGCTCAAGGAGAAAATAGTAAGATAAGGATCGGTCTACGCTGAAAAGAAAGCCTTATATTAGGTGGGGAAAATAATGTGATATATCAAGGCTGTTTGTGAGTTTTGTTTTGTTTTGTTGTTTTAGATTAGTGGGTTGTTTCCAGTCAGAACAGGATTAACTCAAAAATCAAGTGAGCTGTATACTAAAAAGTAAGGGCGAGCTACAAATCTGTGTTTGGGGAAAATTGTATGAGAATAGCCTACACAGTTAGCATGGAGATTAGAATTTTTTGCAAAGATACATTTTCTGTAAAGTTAGGGATTATGATCAAGTCTACAGTGAACATTAGAATTATAATGTAACCCCACTTATATTAACTGTTTACATAACATTCTTTCTTTATTCCTGTCTTTATCCCCAGATAGGTGCTCAAGGAGCACTGGTATCACACTGTTGTCTTACAAGTTAGACCTTCCCAACCCCATTGCCTTCCAGATGTCAGGAGCAACAGGTCTCAAGAGTTCAATCCAGCCAGCATAGGAAAGATCCAGAACTTCTGAAAAAAATCAGCGTAATGAAGTTTGTATTTATATACTTGTTGTATTTATGTACTTGTTAATTATAGATTTTGGACAATGACATTGGATTTGGTCTCACCTCAGAGAATGAATCTTCTTCTTCTTCTTCTTCTTCTTCTTCTTCTTCTTCTTCTTCTTCTTCTTCTTCTTCTTCTTCTTCTTCTTCTTCTTCTTCTTCTTCTTCTTCATCATCATCATCATCATCATCATCACCATGTTCTCTGTTTCTTCCATATGAAGCTTAAAAATTTCAATAGCAGTCAATCTGCTACTGGAACAAAATTTGGTTTTGTTTGATGGGAAAAAATGGATTATTCTGTTCTGACTTGAAAAGGAATAAATAAATCCTGATTTACTGTGCAATTCTAATCTCATCAGTAAGTCCCATAAATTCAGTGATGCTTATTTCCACTGTATAGGTGTGCAGATAAAGCCTTACATGAGAAGCCAGGGAGGGCACTTCAGATGTTGCTAAATTTCAGTGATCTGAATTACAATTATCCATTTTTGTTCACCCATCAGGGTTCTGCTTCGATTTGCTTAGATTAACAGAAATGTTTAAGCTTCTTTATGGCAACTGTTGTGCTGGTTGTTATATTTTGCTTAACTATGGCTACCCTGATGACATGAGGGATGGATTCAGATTAATTTAAAGAAAAAAACAAAGATGACTAGGGACAGTGTGCCATTGTTTTGAATTATGTATTCCACTGAATTTGTTACAACCCATAGAATGATTTAAGGCAGAAGAAAAATGAGAATAGCAACATTGAAATTGTTTTCTCAGTTACTGTTGTTTCCAGCCCAGGAGCATCATTTATTCACTTCATAATCAACTTATTCATCCCATAAAAAATTACTGTACAAATTATGTGCAACAACTCTAATTATTCAGCGATAACAGGCCACTGTTACTGAAAACTAGGTGAGAGTTCTCTATTTCAGCCTTATCAAACTTGGGGCTTTCCAGACATGTTGGGACTATAATGTGCTGGCTGAGACCTGTAGTCTCAATGCATCCTGAAGTCATTTGGTCATCATAGATTGGTCCACTACCACTCCCTACCAAATTGAATTCTGGAAATAAATTAATGTACTATTTCTTTAATGTCAGCCCCATGGGAGTATTCTGTTTCACTAGAAGTTAGGAAAATTATCCCATAGATTGCCCTGCAGCTGAACATTTTATATTCCACTATAATTCAGTAGATGGCACTTAAAATCTATTCACTGAAAATACAATGTTTAATTTAATTTCCCATTCTAAATGTAATTTATCAGGTCCATCTATATATTTATCTATCACCTCCACATGTCATTTATTTCCACTAAACATAATGTTTTTAGAACTCGGGG